AATAACAAAAAACAAGTGCATGTTTCTTTAAAAGCATCTGATGATGTCATGAAACTAGACTCGAGGTTTAATAAATAACTTAGTACATGACTGATTCCATTAGTAAGTGGAAATACTATATGTGTATACATATTTATAAAACGGACTTGAATATAATTAAGTGTATCTGTAAACGCCAACAGTCCCATTTGTTAAAGCTAATCGCACCTATTTGCGGTTTATCCATCAGATGTGATGGCTATGAAGTTGTTCTGGTCAACAACACTTCTTCAGCTCTGGTCCCAGCCAAACTTCTTCAAAGCAACTGAAGCTTCTTAGAAGATTCTAGGTTCTTAAGTGCTTAAAGTCAGTCGAGATAATGACATTAATAAGTGGCTTTATGTTACGCCGGGGTGGAAACGGACGCCTTGGATATGTTTGGTTGCAAGCCGCATGGTACCACAGAGAGGTTCTTCATCCTCGCGTCCAAAGTGACGCCAGAGTTATGAACCTGTTGCCTGCAGCAGGAAAAACAACTTGATTAAAAACCAAAACAAATGCACTGGGTTTAAAATTCCAGATAAAGTGACATTGTACCAGTCGCATTCAGTGATGCAGTAGAAGACGGGCGGTTTGTGTTCCTCTCCGTTAGTGAATGTGGCCCCCAGACCGTTGGCCCCTGCGTTGCTGAAAAGCAGCCAGTCTCCGACACTGAGCTCCGGCAGCAGACATCGCTCCACCACCTGATCCAGATCATCAGCAGACGGACCCCACAGACTGCTGGAGAACAGCGGCTCTTCTGCGCTCACCTCCTGACAAAAACCCACATTACACATGATCAGCTTTAACAATCTACTGACTAAAGCACTGGCCTGTGATGGTTTTAATGACAGAAGATGATGCTCAAATCTTTTAAAATCTTTCTTGGTCCAACAAAAGAAGCAGCTCGCACACATAATTAGGGCTGTCAAAATGACTGAAAAACTAAATTCGAATTCTATTCGAATTTAAAAGGCATAAATTTCAGTTAGGGGGAAAAAAAGCTTTTGGCTTCTCTCCTGAGGCCACAAGAGGACGCATCGAGCAAAATATTATGCACGTTTCTTCAAAGTGTAATAAAATAACACGACTATCTTTGAAAAAAAGTGCATAATGTTTAAAAACCATATATAATTAATAAAGTTGCTTAAACAATAAAAATAAATGAGACATGTTTTTTAAAAGTTGAACTTACATTAATTTTACATGGCTTTCTTAACATGCGGCTCTCTTGTACAAGACGCGAGTGCAACGCTGATAGATGTCCCTCTATAAAATATGCGTTCTGTGTGAACGGCTTGGTTTCAGTTTTGACGTAAACAACATCTTCTCCACAC